AGGGTATCGCAGTTGTCAGCAACGAAGGGATATCGGCCGGAGCAAACACCACAGACTGTGCAGTGGTCCTTGCGGCAATTTGTGAGCAGACTGCAGACATGATGACGGATGGTGAGGCCAGTGAGAATGATGCAGGGTGTGTTGTTGCAGACGAGAATGTGGTCAGGACGTCAGCAGGAACTCTCTTCCCCTATGACATCAATTGGGTGCCTGGTCGTCTTCAACCGAGTATCGTTGGAGGAGCGTCATGCTTCGCGTTCAAAGTCAATGGGGAATGGGTTCCATATCCTGCCCCCAAGGCGACGTCGTGGAGGGCCGTGACTCTGTCAATCATCTTCGACAGAGTGCTGAGGTTGAACGATGAGGTGAGCGCTGACGACAAATCGCGGCATGTGTTGAAACTGTGGCATGTTCTGGACGCGAAGGGCGAGTTGAGGCTCAATGATTTTGAGTACGACAGTGTCGACTGCGGAGAGTCATGGGTGATTGGCGGGTTGGACACTGCAGCGAGTTCGGTTTGTCCACAGACTGATGCCAGGAGGGATCCACGGTGGGGTTGGGTGCCACATGACGCCCCACTTCTTTGTGGCCGTGTGAAGGTGCCGATGCGTGATGCCATGGGGAATGTATGGACCACGTGTTATATAAACAGCAGCTTCTCATCTAGGCACCTGAACAGGGAGGTGACTGAAGAGGAGAAGATGGCGATGGCTTGTCCCACCCCTGCTGCTCGCTGTTTTTCGCCGTCTCTTCGGAACCCTGTGGAGCTCGAGGTGGCAGAAGGGAAAGTGTTCGCGGGTGACCATGGGTACACATACACGCATGCCAGAGGGGAGGACGCTACTGCTGATGGAATAACCAGGCTGGTATGGGACCCATTCAACCTGAGCCCTGACGTTCTGGCTGCCATAGACATTGCGGCCCATGTCATCCCTGAGGGGCAGTTGCAGCAGCATGTGGCCCCTCATAAGTATGGATATCGTGTGAATTGGGTCCCAGGATGTCTGCAGACGGCAACAGTTGATGGCAAGGCGAAACTGCAGACAGGCCATTGGCTGCCCTTGGGGTGGATGCATGCAGGCATGGTGGAGCAGTGGCAGTTCCTGGTGGTAGTGGCACGTGTCTCCATTTTCAATGCAGATGTGAAGGACCACGTGCTAGTTGTGGAGCATGCAAAGCGGTGCTGGGAGAAGATAAGGGAGGAGGACCGTCAGATGGTGTGCATGGGTTACGACTCCATGCCAGACTAGGGGATGTGGTCCATGGTTTAAGGGAGTCCTGGTGGGCAAGGGCAGGGCGATGGCGAGAACAGGTACATGGCTCACATCCGCCGCAGGCATGGTTGCTCCGCCCTTGTTGGTTGGGTCCCGACCGTATGTCGCATGACATATGAGCAAGGTGGAGAGATGATGATGAGGTTCAGGGACCCGCTTGGTGTGCCGTTTTTGCTGACGTACTCGGATGGCCTCCTGCGAGACATTCGGTATATGGTGGCCGAGGACACCCAAGGTGGACATCGAAGGCCGGGACAAACGGAGGAGACGCGCCCGGGACATCAGGACGGTTTGTCTGCTGAGGTGGAGGGCCCATGTGGCGGTGAGCGAGTTCCAGGGTGCTATGCAGCGCAGGGTGACGTGGTCGGGCCCAGCAAGACAGCGATGTCCCACAGCCCGAGGAAGGTGAAGGCGGTTGTGTCGAGGCCGCGGAGGGGGAAGACGGCTGGTGACAAGCAAAAAAAGAACCCCCAGCCTGTGCCACAGACCGGTAACAATGCAGATGCGCCTGCACGGGTCCACAGACGCCGCAGACACCCCGGGATGGCAGCTTTGACAGAGATCAGGAAGCTGCAACGATCCACCGACCTTTGTATCCCTTTCAGGCCCTTCTTGCGCGTCGTCCACGAGGTGGTGGAGAAGGACATTACCCCTAATAAGGGCCTGAGGTTCCAGATGACGGCTGTGCGTGCTTTGATGGAGGCTGCGGAGGCTTACCTGGTCGCCAACTTCGAGAACACAAACGAAGTGGCGATCCACTCGAAGAGGGTGACCATCCAGGTGAGGGATATGAGGCTGGTGGATAGGTTGACGAAGCCTCGCTGGGTGGAGAAATATCATGGGATATTGGACGAGAAAGCTCGAGCTGAGGACAGGCAGCGACGGATGGATGCCAGACAGGCTGAGAGGGAAGGCCGGGGAGCAGGGGCGAAGAAGAGAAAGCCACCGGCAACGAATCGTAGGGGGGGTGGCGCAAGAAAGAAGGCTGCATGAGAGACATTGTGTGTGTGCTTCCGGAACGCTTGTCTTGTCTTTGTCTGTCATGCTTAGTCTTCGTGGTGTGAGGCGGGTTGATTAGGTGCAGAGAGAGAGAGAGAGAGAGAGAGAGAGAGGACAAATGTTCGTGGTGTTAGGCGGGTTGATTAGTCTTCGTGGTGTAAGGCGTTTTTTTTTTTTT